TGTGGGACAAAGCAGAGAGGCAACAAGGACAACCACATCCCCAGAGCCATCAGTTCTAGAGGAGAGAAGCCACCATACATCCTACATGTCCTCTTTCCATTTGTGAGAAAGGAAAGAAAGGATGTCCCCTGAAGCCATGACACACACTCCTCCAGAGCTTGGATGGCTCTGTTCCCAGTCTTTTTCTGTCCCCTAGGCCAGAGAAAACCTCCCCTCCACGGATGACAGTTAATTGCATGGGGCATAGACAAGAATCACTAAGCACCTATTGTGCATCCAGACTTCACACGAATGGCTGCAACCCAGGGATTCTACCAAGAAGATGTGGGAACAAAGCAGACATACCACACGTGTGTCCTCATGCCTCCAACACAATACACCAGACCCAGGTCAGAATGCCTGGCCTGCACACGCCCTGTGCACAAGGACCTCACACGCAGCCAAGAAGGACAGTCCAGACAGTGACCGGCCATGAGGTCACCTCTCACCAACCACCCCTCCTGCTGACAGCATGGTCAGGCCCCACTCGTCAACCACACTGCCCATCTCAGAGTCACGGTCCTGTGTGCAGCCAAGGCAAGAAGGGCCAGGAGCCAGGTCTCACTCCCCAGAAACACGCCACCTGGACATGCTAGTGGGCTGCAGCCATGTACCTGCCTTCCAGTGCCCCTCAGGACACTGTGCCATCCCTGGGACTCCACAACCAGTGCTTGGCAGGCACAGGGGTACCTAATGAGCACACCAGAGGAAGGCCTTCCTTCCCGGTTCACTGAAGGCTCAGGGCTGCTCAGAGGCCCAGAACAAGCCACCAACGCCACCACAGCATACTTCACTGCAATGCAGTTCCAGGTCGGCCTCAGCATCTACAGGCATCGAGAACAAACCCTGCAGAAGCCGCTGGCAGGCTTGTCTCCATTCACACCAAATGCTCGTTCTCCTCTGGCTTCTGTAGAGGCCTGCTCAAACCATTATGAGTCGACTTCAAAAGTGTTGGGCAGGGACATTAAAGACACACCATGTAGAAAGCCAGAGTCACTGAAAGCTGCACAGGCCAAGGGCCATGGCAGGACACTGCCTGGGCACACTAGGATGCCACCAAGGTCAGCACCCTCCCACGGGAGCTCCTCCAAGACCAGGGGAGGGAGAGCCCAACCAGCCTCCTTATGTCGCTGGGCAAGGCTGAATGGAGTTAGGAGGTGGGACGCCTCACATCTAGAGATGACACACAGTCTGGTAGGACACAGGCCTGACACTTAGTTCTGCACCAAAAAGCTTCTCTCAAGGGTCTCATCTCACAGGGTAGGCCCAGAGGGGCATCTTTCTGCAGAGGACCCAGATGACCTCCTGACTGCGCAGCACCAGGGCTCAGACTGCCACAGGCATCCCAGGACATCTCGATTCTGGAGCCTGTGGAGTGTGACCCACTGGGCACAGGCTGTGCGTCCCAAACCAGCCTGAGCGCTGATGAGGGCAGCATCCGCCCTCCTGCCCCACCCTACATCCCTCCTGCACAACCCACTCCACTCACCTGGCTTCTTCCACTCAGCCACTGATGTGTGACAGTCAGGAAAGTGTGTTTGAACATTATGACACTTATATAGCAAAACATGTCAAATAAACTATGTAAGGAAACGTTGAAGGAAGCTCTCTGGTGACATCTTCTCTATACATGCATGACTGATGCCCTATGAACACGGTGATGGGTGTGCATCTGACTCCATTGCATGGGCGCCACCAGCGTGTATGCCTGGTGTCCCAAATCCCATGACTCTCAACAGCAGAGCTGCCCCTCCAGGCCTGGCCTTGCCACCCTTACCCAAGCTGCAGTCCCCTCCCCAGTAATCCCACTGACTGGGCTTTGGGATGGTCCTGAAACCAGCTCCTTACAGGAACTCAATTACAACTGAAGCACAACCCTTCCCATTAAAACTAAGTGCTCAGCATGTTCTATGCAGGATTTGTCAGGTTTTGTAACAATTATCAAACATGCACACAGCAGGAATGTAAACTCTCTATTGAGAAGCTACAGAAACCCCTGAGTAACAGATCCTGGGCGGGCCATGCAGGGTCCTATCTCTCCCATTGGCTGGCCAGTCCCATCTTGAGTGATGTGACCCCTACATGCTCTGGGAGCTTAGCAAACCCTAAGACCACAAAGAGCAGTCCCGCCCATAGAAGACAGCCCCAGAACCAAGACACAAGTTGCCATCCTCTACCCCCCACCCCATGACAATTAGGAGTTATCTTCCTTGTTATTCAGACAGAGTGTATGTGATGACAAATGGTAGCACCTGAGTAAAAACCAGCATAAAGTGAGATGGCACCTCTGTAGTGTAACACACCGACTCTAAATTTGACATGAGAGCATACCACATCATTCAAGTGGTTAGAAATTCTTAGGAAACAATCATTTGGAAATCCATGGGTCTAAAAACTTCAGGCACTTAAATGCTTACACACAAGATAAGAACAATCTGTCTACTTGCAGCTCTTGGCTCTTATCAGGACCTGAGTGACTAATCGTCAAGACAAGCCCATCACCCTCGGGCACTTCCCATATTAATAATGCCTTCTCTGATATAAACTAGCTGACTTCACCTCCCCCAGCTGGGTGAGTTGTTCTAGACTAGGGGGAACACAGCCGGGAAGCAGCTAGCCTGCTTCTCCGCACATCCAGACACCTCATGGAATTGTCTAGCAGCTGGCGCCACCACAGGCCAAAGGGGACCCTGGCACATGAGAGTCTACGGACTCGCTATGTCTCCAACATTTACAAATGCAGCCATCATCTAGAGGTGACTTCATCCATCTCTGTACAATTTTCACCAAACCACTATGTCAAATTAGTCAGCTCAACCGGGTATTTTCACAACACTGACACTCTGCTGCGATATACACATTCCCGAGGACAGAGTCAGTGAACAGCCTCACCACAAAAATGTTTTCTTCTAATGGAATGAGAAAACAGAATGGCTCTGAATTATGACCTCTTCTTCAAAACAGAGTAAAACTTAAAAGTGGAAAAATTTCTACAATTCGCCACAATCTTAACAAGCCGTGTTTGATGGGAACAATCAGTTTAAAATGTGGTTATAAAACTTTGCTCAAAGCCTTTGCTAAAGAATGTCTTACACAAGTATATAATCTCATACTTGAAGAATTTAAACTCATGTACAAAGAAAATGTGTATTTCTTCCTTATAGATATTAATTCTAAGTATGCTCCAAATCTGAGTCCTCCTCCGAAGCTCACAGAGTGGCTGTCTGCTGTCTGCCCAACTGAAACATATTTCACACGAATCACAGCATATTAAGAAACAAAATTTAAAACATTTACAATTTTTAAAAACTTAATTTAAAAACCTTCAACTAAAATTTTTAATTTTTTAAACTGATTTTTTTTTTAAAATTTTAACCTCAGACTCCCCAAAATTATCAGGTTTTTGTTCCTGAGCTGACACAGTGTAAACCAGACAGACATCAGGTAGCTGGACTACATTGAGAAGAAGAATAAAAACAAGCTGTCTTCTCTGCAATTATTGCCCATGAAAATTCAATGTCCATGAAAATCAAATCAGTAGCATCCCTCTCTTCCTTAAATTTAACATGAAAAAAAAACAGTTGCCCTGACCTTGTAAGTCACACATACACAAAAACCTACACAGAAATGTTCACAGCAACCACATGTGAAAACATTGCGAAGATCTAGCACCTAAGACACCACGGAATGTCACTCAGCCATAAAAAGGAACAAAGCACTCCCACTGCCACAGCAGGGGTGACATCACAGGACTTTCATGATCCTGCAGGACACTGTGTGAAATGTCTCAGCAGGCCAGTCCACAGGGACAGTAGATTTGAGGGTGCTGGGATTAGAGGGTGGAGACAGAGTGGCTGCCAGTGAGTCCGGCGTTTCCCCGGGGTGATACAAATATTCTAGAATCAGGGAGAAGTGATAGCTGCGCAACCTTGTGAATATACTAAAATCACTGAAACGAATGCTTTAAAGTGGCCGGTTTTATGGCACATAAATTAGATCTCAGATTTGTTAAAAAGAACCTCCCACCTCAATTTCTCTCACCCCCATTCTGCCATCCTAACTCCAGCGATCTGTATCATGGGTGAGAGTGATGATTCATACAGTAACAAGCCTTTCTTATGGGAAAATCTATGTTTAGCAAAAAAAAATCTAGGTCGAGTGTTTAGGAAAAATCAACACTCAGATGTAGAAGCAGAAAAGTCTCAGGTTCTTACAAGCAAGCAAAGTACAGGGTCTCAAACTCCAGAACACAAAGCTTAGTCTGCTGGGGACTCTTCTTTCCCTCTCCACCCTGTAGTGACATCAGTCCTCCAGGCACTCACGGGACCAGCATGTGTGAGTACTGAAGGGCGCACAAGGGTCTAGGGGCATGACACCCTTGAAAAACATCCTGGACTGACCATGGGCCAAGGGCAGGGAGGGCGCTTCAGCCCCTGCAGGAGAGAATCCCCTGTTGGGAGTCCAGGCAACACAAACAGAGTTGCCTGCAGGCGAAGGCACCCCTACTTCCCTCCAACCTCAGTGCAGTGGCTTGCCATGGACCCAGGAACTCATGAACCATGTCCCCCAGTCCAGCACCCACCAAAAGCCCACGCTAGACGCTCACTGGAGACAGGAGGGGTGACGGCCGCTGCTAGGCACAGGATGAAGGTGCCCCACAGCCTTCACTGAAAGCGCTGGGAACTGATTAAATATGTGGAACTGATTTCTAAGATGCAGGTCTGCGTTCTGTGGAAAGCTCTCCACTCTGCCTGGGAGGGAGCTATGCAACAACAAGATGAGCACAGAAAGGCCCGGAGGGCTGGAGACCTCCTACAGAGTGGTTACACGGTATTTTCCTCTCTTCATCATTTGTATATTGTATCGCATTGTTAGAAAACAATAAACATACATTACTTTTCTGAAAAGAAAAATGGGTCCCCGCAGCTGCTCGGGCCAAGGAAAGATACTCCGGGACGCACCTTCGGAGTTGAGGGTGATGAGGGTGACGTTGCTTCCGATGCTCTGGCTGCCCGACTGCCCACAGCTGGACACGGAGTCGCTGGCCTCCGACCCGCTCTCCCCATCCTCATGGTGGCTGTCTTCTTGGCCTGGCACCTTCACCACAATGGTGTTCTGCCGACGCCCAGGCACGGCGCTGAACGGAAACAAACACAGCAGCCCAACGTCACGAGAGTGGCAACCACAAATCAAGGTCAGCACCGCTCCCGGGAAAGCCCCTCCTTCCTTGGTTCATCCCAACTCTCCCTGTCTGGGCGATGATGGTACCCTGGTCTCCCCACAACTCTGTCTACAAGGACTAATAGTCATTTCCTGGCAGAGAAGAGAGTGGAGTTGAGAGAAACTGTATAAAACAAAACATGCACACTGAAGGAAAATTTTACATAACAAAAGAAGTCAAACCCTCACTGCCTGAGGCCGGCCCTGCCGCTTACGGACATCAGAGGTTATCCTATCCAATGCCGGCATGTGAACAAGCCTCACGTAAGCAACGTGAAGACTGGGTCCCAGCTCATGTGCCTAGACCTGTATCGACCCAGAACACACTGAGAGACTCCTGGTGAGGAGCACCTGGGGCGGCAGTCACCACCCCGCCGCCACTCCCATGTACAAAGCACCCCAGTGGGCTTAAAAAGACTGCCAAGAGTCCCTTCAGAGCTGCTCTCATCATAGGGCCCTTGACGGACACAGAAAGCAGGACAGGCCAGCTCCAGCATGTGCTTGAAAAGATTATTTGGAGACTTGTCACCTGCTTTTTTCATTACCTCTCCAGTCCCTTATCGTGGACTGCTGCACACCGAGCAAGGGAAAGAGGTACCATCGCTCTATTTGCAAAGTCCAAAAAACTATTTAAAAATACGAGCTGTCCCCAGGAGGACGCTGGGCTCAATCCTGTGGAGAACTGTCCTTGCTGCAATTGCTCCTAAAACTCAGAGTCTGCCCAGCTGACCCCAGCGCAAACCCTGCGAAGGCACCACTGGCCCCACGCCTTCGCCTGGCTGATTCGGCCTGCGGGGGCCCCCCACCATTACTGCTGCCTCCCCTCCTCGCCCGCAGCAGGCCTGTGCAGCCTCAGCTGCTGTCCCGGAGGCTGAGCTAGGACACCAAGGAGAGAGGACAGGCTGGAGGAGGAGCAGTCTGCCGCGGAAATTGAGCAGGAAAGCAAAACAGGCCTTTGAGAAAACACAGATAGAAACAAATGCAGCAAAACCCTCTCGCAGGGCGTGTCGCTGGGGAAGCAGGGCCCAGATCGCTGGGCAGAGGCCATCACACAGCTGCCACCTTCGCACAGTGGCTGACGGGAACTTTTGTCCACTCCCATTTCTGACCAAAGTTCATTCAAAATGTCTCAAAAGAAAAAGGTGTAAGAAAAAAAGTCATGAACGCAACATGCCTACACCAATCAGTAGATGGAGGAGAGGTGCCGGTGGCCTGACCTGGCCCCGCACAGACACATGGGAATGCCCAGTGAGCTCTGGGGAAGGGTCACGCCTTCACCAACTGCTGTGAAGAGACACGACCCATCGCACTAGAACCAGGAGTGCCAGCCTGCTCTCAGTGTGTCCAGCCACCAAGACGGGTACTCAACACCGCCCAGTCTGCTTGGAGCAGGGCACCTGCCCTCTCCAACCTCGAAGAGTGGGTGGTGCCTGCCAGGCCAACCAGTGACCAGGGGTGAGTGCAGACTCGGACTGTGCCCTGGCCCAGGATGTTGGACTCCTCACAGTGGCAGGGAAAGTCGGGGTTGGTGCCGTGCTACTGACTTGCTAATGACATTTTCCAGGGAATCCGGTGCCCTGTTGCTCAAGGGGTCTTCCATCTTGGCTACAATGGCGTTCTGCCGATCATTGTTGAGTATTACTGTAGTCTGGGGGACGACGCTATGGAACAAAAGAATCACAAAGAAAAGAAGACCTTAAAACAACAACATTCATTGTAAGAGACAAAAGAAATTCAATACAGTCACCTCCCAGTGGCCTGCACTAGGGGAGGGGCAGCCCCCATCGACACCATGTGCTTTACACTAGAGAAGAGCCAGCTAGAGATGGGCACTTTCTAACAGTTACCCTTCCTAGCTGTCAGTCTGTCCAGTTGGCACAGCCGGATGACAGGGGAGTTGGGGTGAAGACAGCCTGGGATAGTTCAGGTCACTGTCATGCACAGGTCAGGCCTCTGGGAGCAGGTCTGCACAGACACCACTTAGGACATTTACTCATCTCATCCCAACCAATTCCTGTGTGGCCATTCCACACTGTGTGACTGTGCAAGTGCTGATCTCATTCCAAAAGATGCGCGCTCTGGGAAGAAGGGGCGGCGCCACACTGGACTGTGTGAGGAAGGCCACACGCACGACCTCCAGGCTGCATGGGAAGCTGTGTGAACCACAGCCAGAGGGTCTGGGGTTTTGCTGTGGGGAGGAGGACCCTACAAAAGAGAAGGCTGTGACCCCAAAACCACCATGCCGGCAGCACTCGAGGAAGTGTGGCGCATGCTGATAGCAACACTCCCACAGCCTCATTGCGAGGCATGTACCCATCATGCCTTCCGGTCACTGATTTTTTTATGCTTAGCACCTTATGGTCACAAGACATTTCTAAGGTAGACTTTGTTTGGGAAGGATGGGGAGCAGAGAGAAACAGCATTTGAAATACAAAGCGACATCACCTGAGAATAATACCATGCCTGGGTTTCTCTCCAACAGCTCCTGGGACAGACCGCCTCTCTGGCCTACATGCATGGAAACCCAGCCCAGGGTCTTAGCCACACGACTGTCACCCTTTAGGGGCAGCAACAGCACCGTGTCAAGCCCACGCAAATTGAGGGGCCACGGGGCAGTTCTAGAGAATGGGCATCACCAACTGCATCCCATGTGGAGGCGTTGCTCTTATTTCAATTCTTCTCCTTGTTCTTTGGTGACACCTAAAGTGACCCGTCAATGCAGAGGAAGAGCGACAGGCCAGGTGGCTACTGACGTGGCTGCCGCAGTCACCTGTGGGCTGTGACAGTCCCAGCCTCTCACATATGCAAAACGGTGATAAGTTTGGCATTTTCCCAAAGTGTATTCCATGGCAGGCCAATGTCCCCAGGATCCTACATGC